ATAATCAACGATAACAACATGGTATATATCAATGAACTCTTTTGTGCAAATATTTGTTTTTATGAACTAATTAGTAGTAAAACATAATTATATTCTTTACTTTACATTTGTTTAATGAAAAAATACACATTCATTATAATTTGTTAGAATTTGAGGTCTAGAACCTAAGATCTAACTAAAAACAATTAATTCACAATTTCAAAACCATCTTTGACAAATAAATTATTTTAAATATGACATTAGATGTTAAATATTTACATTTTTAATATTAATACAATATTGTTGTAATTGAAGATAACACGAGTGCAAATTAAATTGTAATTAATTGGTCTAGTCGTAATATTTTATTACGCAAACAACGCAAAATTTAGATAATATATAAACTGCAGCATCTTACAACTATTATTTCATAATAATATATGTATACAGTTACTGTATTACAGTATATTATATGCAAATGTGTGTAAAGTAAAAGACAAATTGCATAAAGATTAATTCCTATTAAAGCTTTATATAAGCTACTTTATATAAAATATATCATACATTGTATTTTAAATATTTTTTGTATATAATTATGCATTTGCTGGGGATAGCAATGTTGTGCATATATAGAGTGATGCAAATTGAGTACTAATAAATTGAGCAGAAATTAATGAACTGCTCTATAAATATTTGTTAATTATAAATATTGAATAATATTTAATATTAGACCAATTGATGGTAAAATGTTGATTCACTTACATTCAATAGACCAGTTGTATAACTCTTTTTCTAGTTGTGTGACTAAAGCCCTGTCTGTCGACTGGCTATTAGTGTTGATGAAGAGTTGGTCCCAATTTTGCAGAAAATCAGTGACAACTGAATTAAAAATGTTTGTGTATTCACTAATTGTTGTTGATTTGAGAAATACTTTATTAAGAGTTTTGCGGCGTTCACTCCATTCCGGTCCGTCCCTAATGTAATTATAGCAATGAAAACAACACAGCATTAGATGCAGTTCTTAATGATTGAAAATACTAAATATTTAGGTCTAATTCTTATCTTGATTTCAATATAATCTCTATTATAGGAAAGTCTTATACATACGGAATAAGAGGGTCCGTATATTTCAGTACACTCTCTACTAAATAGCTATAAGTGCTGTAATTTTATATAGTTTTCTCCATTTCCGAAGGCTTTTATCTCTTTTACAGTCTATATATAATACAACAATATATGATAAATATATGTACTGACAGACTGACCTTGAATATAATTCAACAATTTTAAGGTATTTTGGTATATATTTCATTCAAAAAACTTTTCTTTTTGTGTTCGCTTTTACTTTCGTTTTTCACTGACTTGTGTTAACTTCAGATAATAACCATATGATTAGATATAATTGTCTTTAGTCTCTCTCTCTCTCTCTCTCTCTCTCTCTCTCTCTCTTTTTATCATATATTGTTGTATTATATATAGACTGTAAAAGAGATAAAAGCCTTCGGAAATGGAGAAAACTGTACATTTGATTAATTTAATATTGAATTTTAATAATAATTAATTGAGCTTTCTCTCTCTCTCTCTCTCTCTCTCTCTCTCTCTCTCTCTCTTTCTAACCTAATTATAACAAAATGATTTGTTAAATTTTGATGAAATATAAGTTGAATTGGATTTGTGAAAATCTATAAAAGGTATACCAATTTGAAGGGAAATACCCCCAGCATATGGTACCCGAACCTTGGATTATATACAATGAAATCAACGGCATTAAGAGAGGATTATTCTTTATGTAAGCATTTATTTATTTTTATAAATATTTTGTGGTTTTATAATGAAACAACAATAATTGAATTTTATTAATGTTTTGAAGCCAATTGTCAGCAGAGTATACAGAAATTCATAAACATTTAAACAAATAATAAAGATATAATTTTTTAAATTTATACTGATCTAAGATCAGTGATATTGAATTAAGGGTTAATAAATGTTTAAAATAAATCCATTTAATACAGTCTAGTAAATCAGGGTTTCAATACTGATAAGTACTTTACTTGTACAGTACAGTACAGTATATTTATTTAGATTCAAGTCTAAACACTGAAATTAAATTAATACTCTTTTGATTGTATACAATATATACACAATACAAACCATTAAATGTTTTTATTTCAAAACAAAAATACAGCAATATTTGAATGATTTACTCTATGTTATAATTATGAACATAATTATTTATATTCAATATATTTATTGTTTCAAATATACAGTAAGTCATACCAAAAATCAAAATAGTGGATGAAAGGACGAATGAGAGAGAGAGAGAGAGAGAGAGAGAGAGAGAGAGAGCTCAATTAATAATAAAAGATTGCAAATAATAGAGTAATGTTTTGATAGATTTGCTTAAAAGTATACAAACCTTTTGCATAAGTGCGGCGTCAGCTATGAATACGGCCTCAACGCTACCTAACGTTTCCTTATATATTGGACCCAATTCTTGATGTCGACGATCACAATAGAGATGTGTATATCCAGAACCTCCAGATTTGATTAAATCAAACAAAGTTCCAATTAATGGTAGACCTTTAGGTGTAGGCAAAGCATCATAAGACAAGACTTGGCCAGTCGGGTGTGTCGGGTGTGTCGGGTGTGTGGACTCATATGCCTTCGTTTGGTCAGTGAGCGGACACCCAATGACTGAGGAATTCAAACGAGTGGACGAATGGCTATATTTGTGGTGCACAACAGGACATCCAGAGCTTTTTGAAACATCACTTATTGAATCTGAAGCTATGGATGACATTCCAGACATAGATTGCATGTTTGGTACGAAAGGGTTGTTAAATCGGCTTATATTGTAAACCATTGAAGAAAATTGTTTAAACAATTTATTCGCCATTTCAGCAAATCGTGCATTAATTTAACAATTATTATATTTATATCCAAAATTTACTAATAAATAGTTTTAGAAATATTAACGATAATAAAAACAAATTATTAGAAATCAAAATTCTAAAATTAATTATATTATTCACACTAACAAAACAGAATATAATATTAAATAATTATATTAGATTATATTATAAATATTATAACAAATTAAAATAATGTATTTAATAGTTAATGACTATAGAGAAAAGAGAGTAAATTAATTAAAAATTTTATACTAAAAAACTTGTGATCAAATCTTTAAAAAAAAAGAAAAGTGAGAAAAAGTTTTTTTTGGTTGCGATCTACCTATAAGAAAGACTACAATATATTTATATACTCTCTCTATCTATCTCTCTCTCCCTCCTTCAGTGTGTTTGGAGTATTATATTCTGGTGTATAGAGTCTGTAGTGAGTGTGGAAATACACAACATATACAACATAGGCCTTCCACAAGAGCTGGTGACTCGAGTAATAAGTGAGTGAATCCCCGGGGCGTTCAAAGCGATTGGAAATTAGGCGGTCCTAAACTTGTTACTATCATAAGTACTGTATTTTATATAAAGCAAAGATAACGTGTATATTATATTATATACAAATCTACAATCATGTATATATAGCTATGAGGCGTTATTTTTAATGCTTTTAAGACCAGAAATGTATACACATTTTGCGGACATTCTGTTGGAAATCGACATTAATTTATATAAATGAAAATTATTGTAGTATCCTTTAGTATAGCTGTGAAAACAATGAATGCTCTAGAATTTATTTTATTTTACAACTAATACATCATATATATTACATAACATCAACATTGTTCAAATATAAATATATTGAATTAAATTTAAATGTGAGCAAGTGAAAGTTAAATCAGAATAAGTCATTAATCAGTGAATAAATGGTAACTAACATTGATTACTTGTTAGGTATTATTATATTTTATATTAATATTACTGATTTAACTTCGACTCGCACATTGTATTATAGAATTGGTCAATTATATACAGGGAAACTAGAAAGTTGCCAAAAAGGTGCATTTTCTCAAGTTCAATACAATAGTTTCACTCAATTTCAGTTACAATAATTCTTATCGTAACTATTTTATTAGTTTAACATTAATTAAATAGATAATTTTTTGTCTGTCTTTGACTAATCGAATGGTTTCCCTAGTTATATACCATGCATTTATGGCTATCTTTATTGAGAGAGAGAGAGAGAGAGAGAGAGAGAGAGAGAGACTGAATAAATGAAATGAACAGGTGATTTTCAAATTAGTAAATGTGTTAGAATTAGTGTAGCTTAAACTTTAATAAAACAATTTCACTTTACTTTACAATGTTTTTAAAAGCAGTGAACTAGAAATGGAGTGAATATTAAAGAAATGATAGTTTGTTCTCATGTGATGTGGAGAAAGAGAGCGAATACATTGATGTGTATATATATTCTCAAATAAAGAGAAAATGTCTATTATTTGAAAGTAAACTCAAAAACCATCTGCGCTTAGAGTAAGAAAATATAATTCTCTCTCTCCTTCTCATTATCACAATTGAATGGTATATATATTTTTGATGCGATAGAGAGTGGGTCTGAGAAAAGTGCAAAAAATGTTGTTTTATTAAAAATATTGACAATAAATAGAAAGAAAATACGAAAAGTAAGGCAATGGAGATATCGGTACAAATGGAAAGCGAAAGGAGTTTCAATATGTCGGACACAACTGAATGAATACAACAAAACATTTTGATAACAAAACAAAAATGCAAACAATAGATAACTTTTTAGAATGTAAAAAAGAGGTGAAACATTTGAGTCCTCTCTATTGACCGACACTTTGCTCCCAGAAAGCCAAGTGAGACCCGGTCTGTCAGTTCCCTTCACTTACAGCCCTTTCCAGTCCTCCACTCGTACCAGTCGTACCCCTTTTCATGACTTGAAAATTTGTTTGTATGCAAAAATAGAGCACAGAATAACACATTTAACTCTATCTATACAACAGGTAGTGATGTGTTGTTCTCTCTATTTTCACACAACAAAATGTCAACATTTTTATTCTACACAATAAACCGCAAAAAAGCACAACATTTAGAGTAAAATTCGTTTCAATGTCTAGACTTTTATTTGACGCAAAAACAAATTCAATTTAAACATCAAGTAAACCATAAATTATGACAATAATGTATACAATATAATGATATAATCAATGAATGAATGTATTAATTAATTGGTTGATCTGTCTCTGGATCGATAAATAACTCCTCGACTCTTAAGTTCGCGTATAATTCCTGCGGGAAGTCTTCCCGAAACACTTATCGCATAAATCCCTTTACACTTCCGATCTAAACATATATCAAAATAAATCATTAAATATTTCATTTCTAATTTACTACTCACTTATTTTCTGCCATTTTGCGACCCAACTCTCCTCAGGACTCGTCAAAGCAATCATTCTAATAATTATTAAACAATTGTCACTTTTAATCATATTTTCAAAACTCAATTATTTATATTGTACATCAATTTACAAAATAAATAACCTATCAGTCATACATTTTTAATATACAGTATATAATTCTCATATTCTAATATCTCATCAAATAAATTGTCTAAACAAAATTAATTTAATTATTCATTAAATAACAGTGCAATCAAATTAATACTAAATAAGATTACACTATATCATTGGTTATGCATTCAAATGTGTCAATTGTTTGTCGTTTAATTACTACTAATGTTAAAATAAACACATTTTCATTGGTAATTGTTTCAAACTTTGGACATAAATGCAAAGCAACGTTAAATTATTGACTTATTTTAATTATAAGAATATATTATATTATATACTATACTGGATATTAAGTGAATACATAGTGATAAATAAATAGCAATTTTGATGCAAAAACTGAAAGCAATTAAAATATTTTTGTAGACATGTTATCAGTGAAAGGAATCAAAAACTAGTGATTATATTAAAAATAAATTGATGTAAAAATACGGAAGTGTTTTCAATTTTCATGGCTAATGTTATATAAGTTATATATACTGTATATTAAGCAAAAAACACTTCCGTATTAAATAATAGATATTTTATCACTTAAAATATTTATTCATATACACTGTATATAACTACAAATACAGTAACATTAACATTGAACTTTAATAAACACAATGTAACTAACATGGTAATATTTACTGTATTTTAAAGCAGTCAACATGGTTTAATGTGATAAATGTCCAATTTAATTTCCCATATAATTAAGTATTAAATGATTTAATTGAAAGTTATGGCATATAAAGTGATTTCAAGGGTATGTTATAATAAATGCATTTTAAATAAATGTAATTTAAATACTGTATACATACTTACAATTACTGTTAGTTACAATACTGTATATTTGTAATAAATAATAGTTTGCAAAATGCTCTATAATGTACAGTAAGACAGGCATAGAGTACACAACAGTATACAAACGTAAAGCAAACATTTGTATTTATCAAATGCAAATTTTAGTTACAGCTAAAACACTAGGTGCTTTGTAAACGTTCTTAAATGTATACAGTTTGATTAATCTCCTTTAGAATATCTATTTAGATTTGTATGACCACTTGCTCAACTTGCACTTTATAATTGACACTGCATCATGGGCATCATCATGTACAAACTAATGTACGTGCAATATGATGCAATTGCAAAATAGGTAATTACTAATTAGGGTGTATTAGTGGATGTGTAGTGGTAGTGACAATACATGCTATTATGGCTATTGTAGTGATTGAGTGAAATGACAAACCCATCGAAGTTACTGCTCGTGCAGTCGTAGACCATCTCCCGGTTGTTCTTCATTCCCAGATAATCGTCACAATTGTCACACCCGTCGAACTCGAACTGATCGAACGACTGCACCCACAGACCATAGACACAGCCAATCAGACAACAGTTAGAGTGAGACAATCAACGCATCAATCAATACATACTTTAATGAGTGAACAGAGAAGACATGCTCTCAGATGTCTTAAGTCTCGGGGAATGGACTCAACGGCCATCGCAGTCAATGACAGTCACTAGCGGTCTGACAGGCAATCACAACAACGATGTGTCCAAACGATGTCTACAATCCTATAAGCATTCAAATCATGACAATTACATTACATGACACTCACATCCAAATCATATCATACTTAATACTAATCACTAGTAATAATACTAATAGTGATACTAAATTAGTATTACTAATCATCAAAACAATGTGATTGAGTCTCCATTTTATACATCAATTACGTCCGTAACAACTACTTATACAGTACAGTCCAACTTCTCTTGGATAAACCCTCCCTATAATGAACACTTTTGTCGCGAAACTGGCCGTTCATTATAGAGAAGTTGTATTATTGTACATTGTACTGTACAATATGTATAAACTGTGTATTCTGATAGACTATCAGTAATAGTCTTAATGGATTTAGTGCTCAACTGTCCTATTGATAAATTAAAAGTTTGTATATTTAATAAATACAATAAAAAGTAACAATTGCGTTAATTAGTAACAAGTAACAATGTAATGAAGAAACAAATCATGTTTTGATCTCATTATTTTAATATTGATCATGAACTATACTTAAAAATTAGTTTTTAGTTAATAAAAATTAGTTAAACTAAACCCTATTACACAAATTACGCTACGGTTTGTTTATGGGTAATAAAATCATACCAAATACAGTACCGGTATATTAATATTATTAATTTAGTAATACTAGTCATACTAAATTCATATTACCGTTTGTTAACAATATTATGTTTGTTGAATAATAAGTATATGATTAGCATTGAGTAGAAAAGGCATAATAGTTAGAAATGAATGACAATAGTGTTGAGACATGTGATGTGATGTGGATGTGATGCTGGCCTACACCGAGTCTTTGACTGATCCGATGGATGCGATGGTGACATCACTGGCGCGACAAATGTCTCGACCGGAGAACCAGATGAATGGTCTGTCGTGGAGACGCCTCCACCTGTCGAGGGCTAAACTCAAGGCCAGTGCTCGCACTTCGGCTCTGCTGTCGGGCTTTGCTATGGTTTGTGAGGGAATGACAGGGAATGGAGAATATAGTGATGTATTGATGTATTGATGGCTTGAATGGTGTTTAGGTAGCGATGGTTGAGATGCAAGTGAGCGCGAGTGGGGGCGAGAGAGGGGGCGAGAGTGCGGTGCCGTTGTGGTTGTTGGTGGCGTTCGCGGTGTGCACTACACTCTTGGTGTCCATTCATATGTTAGCGCTAATGATCTCTACGTGTATATTACCGCACGTCGAGGCCGTCGCCTCTCTTCATGGCTTCGCTGCCGTTAGTGTTATATTCCTATTATATTGCTATTTATACTGTTTATCAAATGTCATAATTGTGTCCATCACTAACACGGGTAATGCTAAAAAGGAAAGGATGCCAACACGATCTAGCTCAGCCCGTTGTGGTTGATGTCATAGACCCCCAAACAGTGTTGTTATGCAGTTAAGACAGCCGGACTATAGATAATGGTAATTCTATGGGACTAATGCCAATCTGTTGTTTGAGTAATACCCGAATTGTGGTTAATGTGTGTCGCTGTGTGTGAATTGTTTTAGATATACGTAAATATAATGTATACTGTATTGGATCTCCTTTTCGGTATTATTTACGGAAAACAAGAATAGTTTGGAATAACTTATAGAGTGATGACGTGATCACCAATTTGTGTATTAGAAGACTGATTACATGTATTGATTGATTGACAGGTGAATGAGTCGCCCCACGAGAGGATGCATCTATACATAGAGATCGCGTGGGCTTTCAGTACAGTGTTTGGTATATTCTTATTCCTCATTGAATTGGCGATCCTTTTCTACGTTAAGTTCTGGGAAATGGGATCAAAGGGTCGAAAGGCATCGCTCGCAGCCGTCATTATATTGGTTCCAATCGGCGTTATATTTATTGCTTTTGCCGTTCATTTTTATCGGACATTAGTGTCTCATAAGTTTGAGCGCTCGGAACGAGGACTTCAAGAACTGGAGTCAATGATAACACAACTCCACAATGAAAATCAATACAACACCACAGCTGTCAACCAAATGAGCCCAACCGTCCCAAACACGGCAAACATTTTAAATGTATAACAATTGTTAAATCTATTATTATCATCGATTGTATTATTTTTTATATCTATTGTCTCTATTCATTAAGTATTTATTTTGACATCATTTATATGACATTCAATTCATAAACAATTTAATGTCAATACAAATAACTTTTTATAATTATGTTTTTTTAAATTTAATAGTTTTGCGTGAAATGTTTTTAACGAATCTCTGTTTTATTTCACATATATTTAATAAAACCCAAATTATTTAATATTTGAAGTGTATATTATATCAATAATAGTTAAAAATTGAAGTGACAGTTGTTTGCTAAAATTATGATTACTTAAATATGTAATTAGTAATGAAAATGTTGAAAAGAAATGTTAATTACAATGTAGTCAATACTGTTTTGGTTATGATATGTATTGACGTAAACTTTCGATTGATTATTATGGGTGTTCGGTAGTTGTGACATTTTGGCAACGTTTAGGGTATTTATCGGTATGAATATTTAGGCTACATTTTTAAACACTTTATGTAAACTCAATCTATAAATACATTGCATAAATTTATTTAGTAAACCACTATTTATTGTAATTTAGACTAAATTAACTATCATATTAAGTTATTATCAAAACAGTTTAGTTATCGTAAATTAGTAATTATAGAATTTTAACTCTATAAACTATTCGTTCATGTAAACTATTCGATACATTACACAATTGTCAAGAATATGTGAAAATTTGTTAATTTTAAATATTTAGAGAATTACAAGATATTTTGCTATTATTTAAAATAAAAACTGTTTCTAGTTGAATCTAGTTGAAAAGCAGATAAACATCTCACATTTTAATAAAAATTTAGCCTAAAAAAGGAATAAATAAATAATTACATAGCATTCAATGCATAGACTTTTAGTGAATGGTTCTGTGCTATGTGTGAATCACCATTCATCACAACTTTTTATTGCTTTTAACATTCAATTGAATGCTATGTAATTATTTCGAATTTTGTCCATAATTCGGTTATTTCTGGCCATTGGCAGATTTTCTCCACGGTAAATAAATCTATGGACCGTACTGAACATGTACATACCAATCAGAATGGGCTAAGCAATTTGCTATTTAAATATTTTCCTTTTAAGTAAATAATAAGCAGGGCATTGAATTTTCATATTTATATATTAAGCTGTTCATATTGTCAGTGGGAGTGTTTGGATGTCTACGGATCATGTACTGGTGTTCACTTTAGCATAGTTAATTTAACANTAACCACTATAAAAGATAGTCTATAATTGAAAGTGTGTTGATCACAAACATCATAAACTCATTGCATTTCATTGTATTCACTGGATTTGATTTGAACACAAGTATTGTATTTGATTTGAATTTTGAACAATTGTTATAATATAATGACTGCCATCGCTGTTAACGATGTCTCGTATGGATATAAAACACAATCCATTTTAAGCCATATTTATGCGCGAATTCCTGAACACAAGATCTATGGACTGTTGGGTCCGAGCGGTGCGGGAAAGACAACTCTTTTGCGTCTAATATTGGGTCGACTAAAGGCTGAGAGCGGCTCTATTAGAGTGTTTGACTCTCAACCCGGTGTCCAGAATCCCGTCACTGGGTATATGCCTCAGGACACAGCTCTTTGCCTCTCATTTACTGTCAGTCAAACACTTATATATTTTGCTAACATATATCGCATGTCTAGCAATAAATTCAATGAAAGGTATGTTTGAAATCTAATTATATTTGTAACAAAGTATTAAATGTGTAAATGTGTTCAATGCTTCCATCACCTAATATCTAAATTTGTGATAAGAGGGTCGTGTAATTATTTTTAAGTACATTTTTCCTGGAGATTCTTGATATATTTGGGAGAATTCCTACAGCCATTCTTGAGTTGGTTAGTCCTTAAAAGTCCTTATGTACATAAATTAATAACTCAAGTAATGTGTCCAAACTCAAGAAAACATGTAAATATATAAGCTTTTAAATATTATCAATATAAAATCATTATCCACTTTGTAAGTTTCAACAAAATAATAAACAAAAAATTAATTCTGAATTATAAATTTGAATTATTTAGCCTTATTCTAACTTTTCAAGAGAAAAGTGTATATTTTGATCAATGTATTTACAATTAATGTATTACTATGGAATTGCTTGAGCTGCCCATATCTAGAAGAGACCCGCCGGGAGACGGGAGTCGGACCTTTATTTCTGAAGACTCCCGGGCAACCGGCAGCTTCTGACAACCCTAACTGTACTGACCTGATATATATGGACACCCACTTTGTGGTGTTCACATATACGTTACGTCTTGTGATAATTGCATTTTAATGGTTTCAAATCAATTTTGAAAGTTGTAACAAAACTAACAAAATGTTGTTTAATTCAATCTATTAATAACAGAAGAGGATTGTTATCATCAATACTACAACTTCCGGAAGAGAATCAATTAATATCGCAACTATCGGGTGGTCAACAAAAGCGAGTGTCTCTCGCTCTGGCATTTTTAAACAATCCTAAACTTGTGATATTAGATGAGCCGACTGTGGGTACAGACCCTCTGCTTGGGAACAGTATTTGGAAATATTTGCACAATTGTTGCGCTGAAGGCGTGAGTGTTGTAATAGTAACCCATTATATAGAAGAGGCGGCTTTGGCTCATACGGTGGGCATTATGAGGAACGGCACTCTTCTCGAAGAGGGATCTCCTAATGATCTGCTTCTTAAGTATAGGGAAACCAATTTAGAAAATGTTT